TTCCACCTCAGTGAAACAACACAATCCAGCTGGAATGGTGAATTGACCCAGCTTGAAGTAGATCTTAGACGGAAACAGCGCTGCTGATGCTATAACCCACGAGAATCACCATAGGCGCAACAGGCATGAGAAAAGCAGGAGAAGTTGTAGCGCCAAAGATAAGTAAGTTGAAGTCCTGGCTTGCGGTGCGGAGAAGGAATGAGCCCCATCAGGTGATTGACGCCTGTGTTCTCAGGCACCAACATGTCTTAGTCAGAGCCGGGTGTCAACACAGAAAATGACATCACCTGCCCGGATCGAGCAACTTTCACCTACTCAGTGACATTGTACACGAGGCACCAAAGTCAGGTGATAGTAGTCAACAATTGGGGCTGTGGTTTAGTGGTATAATATTCCCTTAGCATGGGAGAGGTCCGGGGTTCGATTCCCCGCAGCTCCATCTTTTTGCTGCCTGCTGCTTTTCTTTCCGACCTTCAATATCTGTTTCGAAGGTTCCCGCGTTTTTTTTTTTTTGCCCCGTCATCATTTCTTAAAGAACGACACCGTATGGCAACGGCACCCCTGAGCCATCTTCCCACTGCAAGCACCAGTGTACACGACCCGTGCCAATACCTACGACAACCACCAAGTCTCACATACCAAACACGTATGCTGCTGCGAAAGAACTAAACAGAGAAAATCATATCAATGTCTTAATTTACACGCGTGCGCTAAACACATGCAAGGTATCGGCAGGCCAGACCATCTGACATGTGCAAGAACGACACACCAGAGCTCCGACCCACGCAAGCAGGACTTGTTGTATAAACCATCGTACACTATGCTTTGTAGACAAAGGAAAAGAAAACCATACAGTGAAGACCTAAATGAGTTGACACAAAACTAGCTCCTTCCGCCAAACCCAGAAAAAGATGTCCCAAAAAAACCCCCACTCTACTCGCCCTTCAGGCGCTCCTGGTGGACGCTGAAGGCATCCTCGAGGAACTCCTGCTCCTCCTTCAAGTGAACGGACTTGAGACCAGTAGCCACAGAGGCACTCGGGGCACGACCGGCGTAGAGGACGTGGCGGCGGTTGTGGTGCTCGGTCTGGTTCAACAAGGTCTCGATACGAGGCTGAGTGTAGCTCCAGGCACCGGCGTTCAGGGGCTCCTCCTGGCACCAGACGATGTTACGGGCGTTGGGGTAGCTGTCAAGGTTCTCCTTCAGCTGAGCCCAAGGGAAGGGGTGCAGCTGCTCGATGCGGGTGATGGCGGTGTTGCGGATGTTGTTGGCCTCACGGTGCTTCTGAAGAGTGGCGTACACCTGGCCAGAGCACAGGATAACGCGCTCGATCTTCTCAGGCTCGTCGATCTCCTTGCCGTGGCCCTCATCGGGAATGATCCACTGGAAGTGGGAATCGCCAGTGAAGTTCTCGATATCAGAGCGGGCAATGGGGTGACGGAGGAGGGACTTGGAGAAGAAGAGCACAAGAGCTGTGACTAGAGTCAGTTTGAAACAGGATAAGAGAAGGCAAGGAGAACATACGCTTGCGGAATTGACGGTGGATCTGGCGACGCAGGATGTGGAACAGGTTGGCAGGGCTGGTCATGCAAGCAATCTGCATGTTGCAGTCCTGGTGCTGGCGGTCAAGCTTGTCCGCGGAGGGGAAGATACGGGGCTCCTCGTTGCAAAGCTGCAGCCAGCGTTCCATTCTACCGGAAGAGTGCTCGGGACCCTGACCGTCGTAACCGTGGGGCAGAGACACGACGAGACCAGAGCGCTGGAGCCACTTGGACTCGCCGGAAGCGATGAACTGATCGATGATGACCTGAGCGTTGTTGGCGAAGTCACCGAACTGGGCCTCCCACATGACCAGGGCGTTGGGGGAGGTCAGGGAGTAACCGTATTCGAAACCCAGACTGCAGACAGATTAGCATGAATAGGAGACTGCAAATTGTAATACACAGGCAAGAACTTACCATCCGAACTCACTGAGGGAGGAGTTGGAGATGACAAAGCTACCCTGCTTCTCAGAAATGTCCCGGAGAGGGGTGTAGGTAGTCTCGTTCTCCTGGTCGTGGAGAACAGCGTGGCGCTGGGAGAAAGTACCACGCTCAACGTCCTGACCGGAAACACGGACATGGTAGCCCTCAGACACGAGAGAGCCGAAGGCAAGAGCCTCAGCAGTAGCCCAGTCAATGTTCTTGCCCTCATCGACGGTCTTCTTGCGGTTGGCCAGAATACGCTTGAGGTTGCGGTGGAGAGTGAAGCCCTCAGGAGCACCGCTGATCTTGCCAGCAATGTGCTGCAGGAGAGAGGTGTCAACACCGGTGGGGAGGTGAGGCAGAACCTCGTTGGCCAGCTCCTTGGGGGTCTTGAAGCCGTTCCAGGCAGAAGTGAGCCACTCCTTGCCGGTGGGCTGGTAGTCCTTGCTGCGGTCGAAGCTGTCGTTGAGCATGCCCCAGACCCACTTCTTGTGCTCGTCAATGTCCTCCTTGGTGAAGGTACCCTCGGCGATGAGCTTCTCGACGTACTTGTCGAGCTGAGCCTTCTGCTGAGCAATGCGCTTGTACATCAGGGGCTGGGTGAAGGAAGGCTGGTCGGTCTCGTTGTGACCCTGCTTGCGGTAGCAGACAATGTCAATGACAACATCGCTCTTGAACTCGGCGCGCCAGTCAGCGGCGACCTGGCAGACGTAGTTAACAGCCTCAACATCATCGGCGTTGACGTGGAAGACGGGAGCATCGATGGACTTGGCGATGTCGGAGCAGTAGGGGGTGGAACGAGAGTAACGGGGATCGGTGGTGAAACCAATCTGGTTGTTCACAATGATGTGAATGGTACCACCGGTGGAGTAGGCAGGGAGAGAGTGGAAGCCCATGGTCTCGTAGACGACACCCTGACCAGCAAAGGCAGCATCACCGTGGAGGAGGACACCCATGGCGGAGTCGAAGTTGGTCTCGTCCTTGTTGTAGTGCTGGATCGAGCGGGTCTTTCCGAGGACGACGGGGTCCTCAGCCTCCAAGTGGGAGGGGTTGGCGACCAGGGAAAGCTGCACGCGCTTACCCGAGGGGGTCGGGCGCTCGAAGTTCATACCCAGGTGGTACTTGACATCACCGGAGCCCTCGTCGGACGGCTCGGCGGAACCAGCGAATTCGCTGAAGATGGACTCGTTGGGCTTACGGACGACGTTGGAGAGGACGTTCAGACGACCACGGTGGGGCATACCAATGACAATGTCCTTAATACCGTAATCGACACTGCGGTCGATCAAGGCCTTCATACCGGGCACCAGGGTTTCGCAACCCTCCAGACCGAAACGCTTATCGTTGGGGAACTTGGTGGCAAGGAAGGACTCGAAGCTGTGAGACCAGATCAAGCGGTCGAGGATACGGCGCTTGTCATCGACGGAGTACTTGTAGGGCTCGGGGACCTCGAAGCGGTCACGAATCCAGTCGCAAGGCTTACGGTCGGGGATGTGGATGTACTCAACACCGTAAGACCCGCAGTAGATCTTCTCGCAGGTAGCGATAATCTCGCGCAGAGTCATCTTCTTGCGGCTCTCAGTAGCGAAGCGGGGCAGGATACCGGGACCAAGAGTGAACTCCTCGTCGAGATCACGCTCCGTAAAGCCGTAGTGGTCGAGCTCGAGCTCCTTGGGCTTGTTGTAGCCGAAAGCCTCGGCCTCACCACGGATACCAAGAGGATCAATCTTGGCCTTGTGGTGACCACGAGCCTGGTAGGCACGGACCAAAAGCTGAACCTTCAAGTGATTCGTGACATCGGTACCAGCGGCGAAGCTAAGACCCTCACCGGGCATGTTTTGAGGGACACCGCCCGTAGGGGTGGGAACGAGCGTGGGAGGGGGCTGGAAGGCCTGAGAAACGGGCATCTTGCCTTCCTCCATGTTCTTGAAATACGTTTGCCATGAGATGTGAACGCTGGAGGGGTCGTTCTTCCATGCCAGGTACATCTCATCGACATAGTTGGCGGTGTTTCCAGAGAGGAAAGAATCGTTGGCATCAACGCCCTCAGCGGACTGGGCGTAGTGACGTTTGCTGTTGACCACCGCCAGAGGACGGCGAGTGGTCAAGCCGAGTTTTGAGCTGCGGAAAGACACATTTCTGGCGCTGGAAGCGAGGGAGATGGATCTTGTGCAGGCGGAGCGCATACCGCTGTTGGCGGCCTTAACGGCTGTGGAGCGAAACATGGCGGGAATTTTTGCTGATGCGTTTTGCGACGAGCTTAAGATGATAGAAAGGCAGATGAATGTTGTGGAGAGGGAGCTGTTTGATCTGTTGACGCGTCAATTGGTATGTTAGCTAGAGCTTCATGTTGCGGTCATCGCTGCGGGATTTTTTTTCGGCGGACCAAAGGAACACGCACGCTGGGAGAAGAAGGGTTTCTAGGATCGAAAGCAGGTGTCGACTATTGTTGCCGTAGCACCTGAGCAAAAACGGGACTCATCAGAGAGTGAACACACTCTCAATAAACAAAAGGAATTCAAGAGGGGAAGCCTCTAGGTGTTGTTGTAAGGTGGAGTAGAGAGGAGAGAGGAGTAGTAGTAATGGAAGAGAGGAGATGGGAACGGGATGGGAGGGAACTTGGAACTGGCAGCAGGACAGAGACCAACAGCCAGGCAAGGCAGAGGTTTGCCGAGAATAGTACGGAGGTACGGCTATGACGGCCAGCGCAGCTGTGGCTGATGGGGGTTGCAGGTGCAGCCACAGCTGAGTCATCCCGCTTTGTCCGTTTCCACTGCGGACCGAGGGAATTCTCAGTCACAGCGGATGTCCAGCGATGCCCAGCGATGCCCAGCGGTGGCGGGCCGGACTTCCCGGTTGCGGTTAAGCAGCAGCACCGCCACACCCGGCTATGAGCATTTCCCGGGCCGGGTTTTTGCGGGAAGGCACGTGGACCCAATGACATCAAATGCAGGCCGGGCACGCGGAGCACTCCAGCGCTGCTGGTCAGCCCTGCTGCTCAGACAAATCTACAAATAGGAGCCCTAGTCTCAATCTTGACCCCAGACCCAGAGCAACAAACTTCGATCGGCGTCGTGTCAGAAGACCCTCCTTACGGGTATCAGACCATGCGTGCTGACAAAATCACGGGGTTTCATTCGCTAACAGAACAGAACAGTACAAGCCGCTGCCTTTCGCAGCAAGGAGGTATTATATAGTGGGCATCAACATCATTATGTATATAGGGCAAAGGTCACCGATATCGCTTGAGAATTTGACCAAGATGAGTTATATACCGCGGTGGTCTCGCCTGTATCTCACTTCCCAAATTGTTCAACATAGTGGGGATCCTACTCGATCAGATGGAAGAGTTCTCTTCATCGCCCAGAGAAGGGTCCAGACGCTGTTCCGCGGAGGTCTGTGACCATCGCAGTTTCTCTGATCTCTCAATGGGGGACTCTGCGGCACCAGAGCCACCGAATGCGTCCGGGGGAGCAGTCAGGACCGTGGGACTTGCATCGGAGATGTAGCTCGCGCGGTTGGACGATGTATGGAGATAGGGAGGGGGGCTGCCACTGCTGCTGCGGAGGCTCCCATTGCTCCCGCCCCAGGCGCCCCGCCGAAGGCGCATCAACGCGCTCAGGGACATCTCGTCGTCCATACTACTCGCGAGGTCGACCAATTGAGCGAGCCCAGGACTCGGCAGCGCGGGATTCGTAGCACCATGAGCCGCCAGCGAGATGACCGAGTTGCGCGTGCTCCATTCACTGCGCTCGGTGATGGGGGTGAGACTGGGCTCGCGGAACTTGCCCCGACTGCTGAAGCTCCGCGAGATCCCTTCGACGCCCCGGGGACCGAAGTAGCCGCCGTTGGTGAGCTCCGTGCTGCAGGTCCCCAGAGACTGTGCGTAGAATCCGAACTCTTGACCGTAGAAACCGTCATCGTCATTCTCGAGCGCTTCCGCGTTGGCCGCGGCAATAATCGGGTCATCGTACAGCAAGGCGTCGTTATCATCGTAGTCGAAATCGTCTAAGACTTCGTCGAAGCCCAACCCGTCAACGGCCTGGCTTAGATGGCTGTCGTCCGATATAAGCCCGGAAGGGGTGTCCATCGTCTGCGCTGTGCTTGTCTGGCCCACGGACCGCTCGCTGATGCTCACAGAGCGCCCGAACCTCTCGTGTAAGGAAGTGTCGTTGGCTACTTTGGCCAGGGCGTCGTGGAAGGCTCCGAGGTTGTACTCGGATAAGACTCCGCCATGCGGTTTTGGAGGCGCAAGGTCCGTCAGTGCCTCCAGGGTGTGGCCGTAAATCCTAGATGTGTCTGCTTGATACTCGCTTGCTATGCTTGGAGCATGTCGGAGACCGCCATTGTTCTCCGATAGTGCCTCCTCAGGTTCACCGAGACTCGCAGAGGTTTCGTTCTCCTCCGGCTTTACTGGAGGGTCGGAAACGAGGCGTGGAGCCACCGGCTTCCGCTCATACAGATGACTTGTTTCGTCGTCAAAAACCGACTCGTCAAATCTCTCGCCCTGAGTAGTCAGCTCGCCGAACTCTCCATCATCGAAATACAAATCATCTTCGTCCTCCTGTATCGGCTGCGGAGTGACTGGCTTCCGCTCATACAGATGACTAGTTTCATCGTCAAATACCGACTCATCGAATTTCTCGCCCTCAGTGGTCAAGTCACCGAACTCCCCGTCGTCGAAATACAAATCATCTTCGTCGTCAATCGGCTGTGGAGCCATTGGCTGTACACTCTGAACCAATTGCGGAGTCTCAACAGACGATGCCGTCGGCGTAGGCAAAGACTGAATGCTGGAATCATGCTCAGGAGCCGCCGCCGGCTCTCCGTTCGACGGATTTGGGAAGTCTTCCGCCACAGGAGCAGGAGAATCTCCAGCACCATCATACCCCGGAATCCCGGGTGTTAGCGGGGTCCCGACGACAGGGGAGAGTTCGGGAGCCAGCCACGACTTATTGAGGATGTTGCCCGTGCCCGAGAAGCCCTGAAACTCATAGTCCTCGTCTGCATCGACATTCACCCCGGGGATCTTCTCTTCAAAGTCGTACATGTCATCGAGGATATCGGCATCGAAGTCTTCGCCGTCGCTGAAGCCCGGATCTTCCAACTGGGCCTTGGCCCTTCGCGCGGCCTCCTTTTCTTTGTGTTTCTCCTCCAGAAGCTTCTCCTGCGCCGACGACTCCACGCCGTTCATGTCAAAACTGAAACGAGAAGCATTACTCTTGAAGTGCTTGGGCAGGCCCAGGGACTGGTGAGGCATCATCTCGATGGTGTCCTCGTCATGTCCAGCGGCAGGCTCCTGTTGCTTCTCGGACTGGTCTTCTGTATCGTCCTTGGCTCCGACCTGCTCATCGGGCGACTCCGCAGGCCCGCTCTCCTCCGGGATCGTTGAGGGCAACTTCCGAGCAAACACGGGGAGCGCGCTGGAATCGGGTTCCGCCAGCGAGGGATCTGTCAACAGAGAGGACTGCAGATAGGCTTTGCTCTCGACTTGCAACACCTGCTGGCTGTCCTCCTCGAAGTGTTCCTTGAACACGGGTGAATATTCTGTGTGCCGCCTGGCTTGCTCATTGTGTTGGGTGGCGTGGGCTGCCTGATCGGCACAGGGGGCAATCGGCTCGCTGGGCGACTGATGATAGGCGTCGCGGAGCAGTACCGGAGGCGTGGAGTGATTGCGACGCGGACGCGGCGCAGAGAAGTCATGGACGATCTTCCCGCGAATCCGGGGATCGTAATCGTCGGGGATCGCCGGGACCAGGTTGCGGGCGGAGTTTGTGGTGTCAGCTGTGCGGAGGCTTGTTCCCTGGTGCGAGCGCCTCCGGGCGAGGAGTGACATGGGATTCAGTAGATGCAGCCTGGTTTTGCCCGACTTGTGATGGCCATGTTCTGGCCCCAGATTGTCCCGGTCTCCCTGCCGACGATGGCTGCCGCCATCACTCTTGTAGTCGCGCTGCGAGGTGGCGGTCTTATCGGCGGGCGATGTTATATCGGGAGAGGTCTTGAACCTGAACGGGTGACTCGAGGACGGCATGCTGGGGGTCGAGTATCGTTTGAGGTGGGGATCGGAGGCTTGGTGATGGGACGAAAGTAGGTTTTTGCCTATGGAAAGCCGAAAGGGAGAGCTCGTTCGGGGGATATCTCCGTCCCCATGGTGCGGACGCGAAACTGTAAAGGATGACTGCGAGTAATTGGACTGGGAGGTGAGGGCTGGATCTCGATCACGATCTTCAGAGCTGGAGTCGCGCAGGGTGTGATTCTCGAACGACGAGGAGGCCACTGCAAGGTTGGCGGAGGTAGAAGCGGGCGCATTAATTGGGCTCGCTGACACGGTAGCTGTTCTCTTCGAATCCGACGTCGGATCGATTGGGCTCGGTCCTTCGGCGGCTGGTGAGGGGTCGGCGAAAGCGGGAAGAGTTGCTGTGTTATTCGGAATGACGGGGAGTTGCGGAGGAGTGTGGGATACCACTAGGCCTTTTGCCGTGGGCTGCGCAACGGACGAAGAAACGAGGGATGCGCTCGATCGGCGGTGGTCGCGACGCCAGTAGGAGAAGACTGTGGAGGGGGCCATGATGAGGAATGCGCCAGGAGCACCTGGTGGTGCATCCGAGTGAAGGTAGCGTCTAGAATGTGAGAAATCGCATCCAGAACATTTTTTTTGGGTGAGTTGCTTAAATCGTCCTGGGCAGGAATGTGAGGTCAAAAGTTTAATAGAATGAATATGTACGAATATGTACAAGTAGTAAGTGAGGACAGCGTCTGCCTGTAGAGAAGAAGAATGGAAGAGAGAAAGAAAGAATCATTAGAGTATGGACGATGCAGGATAATTTGGCGTGGGGCAATTCAATCCACGTACTAGTCTAGTCTCCATGTCTCACCCGGCGCGCCGGCGGCGGTCCAATGGTTGAGATTCAAGGGGGGAAAACCGTTTAATTAGGTACTTTAGGTACTTTACTAAGTTCCTCCAGCTTGACTATCTTCCTGCTCATCTCGTTTTCTCCCTCTTTTTTTTGTTTTCCTCACTAGTCTTGCCTATTCAGTACTTCTTGCTGCACGCGAGACTTAGTCCTGTCTCAAATCAGGGGCACGGACGGGTCCACCACCAAACACCCGAAACATTCACACGAAGTGAGTGCTATTGACAGAGGAAACCGGGGAGAAAGCATAGCCGAAAACAATGATGACCAACGGATTGCATGCATGCAGTAGTTAGTCGGAACTGAAATAATACCTACTTTCACAAGCTACTACCCGCCAATGCTGTGCAACTGTGATGAAATGATAGATTGGTTACTATTTTTAGACGGCCGAAGACGACTCAGCATTGGAGGAATGTGGAATCGGGTAACTTATACGGTATAATACACAAAAACAAACCCGCTAATGAAGAGAGGATATCACCACAAATACTGACAAGACAAAAACAAACAAGGCTCCAGAAACACAAATCGAGCTCAACGCAATACCGTAGAATGCATCCTGATCGAAGATCGAACATAGATAGGCAGAGCAAGGAGATGGACCGGCCAAAGGGAAATGAGAAGGAAGCTGATCAGACAGTGACTAGACGATGCTCTGCCTCCAGCGATCTATGACCTCCCGTTGACCGGGGTGGATCATAGGTCGCATCGTTTTGGCGGGATGCTTGTTGGGTGCATAGCTGAGATGACTGACCCCCAAGATAGCATCGCTGTAGAATGTATTGGGGTGCGCCATCCCAGAGACATATGGAGCAGCCCTCGCAGCTGCGTATCCGGCCTGAGGTCCGGGGTACGTTGGCATCTGCCGCAACGACAATCGGGGATCTTGGGAGTACTGCTGCTGAGCTGTCCCTTGTGGCACGGGAACATCTTTAGGAGGCGGCCGCTGCATGGCAGAAGGACGTCGGGCATGTAGAATATCAGCCATGCTTCTCCGATACCGTGGGATCTTCAGTGTCGAGTTGTTCAGAGCTTCGGCTTCCGCCTCGCGCTGAAGGCGAGCTCGCCGTTGCGCCAGAGTCTCATCCTCGGGCGGGATCGCATCAGCCTTGCCCTTCTCACCGTCGGCTCCGACGTTGTTAATCTCCGCGAGGATCTCGCTTGCGAACTCGCTGTCCGCAACAGTGGACGGAGCCTGGTCTTTGGACTTGAGTCGCTGAAGACGTTGGGCTAGGGTTTCCTCCTCATCGCCGCTTTCCTCGGCTGCAGCCATGGCGTCTTGCACCGTAGCTGCATACATCGTGTTTGATCGCCTATCGGGAGTGCGGGGTGGGGGCTCCCCCCGGAGGCGGGCTCGACGCCGGCTCAGAGGTTCCGACTCTTCCATGGCTCTCTTCTCCATCAGACCCAGAGGGCGCGCCTCTTCCGTCGCGGGCGCCTTTTCAGGGAACAGCATACCCAGCGGGACATCATCGTCGTCTCCCTCGTCCGGTTTTTGCGCATCTGCACTTTCCCAGGCCAGAGTAACTGGCCTCTGTCGCCGATGCTCGCTCTGCTTCTGAGCAACAGCATCCATTTGAAGGAGCGTGGACTGGAGCCCGAAGGGACCCGCCACGGCTTTCTGCCGTTGTTTGAGCTCGTTCTTTCGCATTTCCAATTCTGCCATTAGTGTATTTGGCGGCCCGGTAAACTCTACTTCAGGTTCAATTGGATGGGCGATGTCTTCGTCGTCGTGTTGAACCACGTCCGCACCGCCAGTTGCGCCATACTCATCCTCACGTAACAAGGTGCCTTCATGCATGTCTGCCGCCTCGGCTTCGGTCTGTTTGTAGAAGCGATCGGAGGTCACTGGTCTTTCTTCCAGCTCCGGGTCGGACAAGCGGCGGTCGAAGCCAAGAGCGCTCCGAGAGGCTCGCTTCTTCGAATGATCAAGCAGACCTCCGACGGAGGGTTTACGTGTGAGCTTGGCATGACCCGCCGCGCCAGCAATCGGATGGTCGGTAAACGCACTCACAGGGGCGTGTGCTGATGCATCAAGTATACTGTCTAAGGTGGCTACCGCGGAAGCCTGAGTAAGTTCTAGATTAAGTGGCACCGATGGCTGTTCGAAGAAAACGCTGGCACGAAGCTGTGGCGGCAAAGCTGCCACCTCCTTGTCTCGCTTGAGAGCAGCGTTGCCGTCCGAGTCCTGCTGTGACAGCCACGGGGCTGATTTGCGGTTATCGACAGGAATTGAGCCTAGAAGCTGTGTGCGGCGCTTCTCTCTCTCCGCGCCGGGTTTTCGCGACAGACGAGGGGGCAAGTTCAACATCATTGGTACCGGTGCAGGGTAATAGACCATATCCTCGCCGGCCTGTGGTTGCTTGTAGGTTTCGGATCGGCTTGCGAGCGGCGGGCGGGTAAGCGATACTCGGCGCACCAGGTCTTTCTCCGAGGGAACATAGTGCACGCCGTCGAAGTCAGTGAACAGGACTCGAGCTTGCTGGTAGGTGTCAGTCGAAGCCGCTGTGCACGGACGTTCGAGTTCCTCGCCCAGTAGGTGATTGTAATGCTCATGGTCGACAAGTCGAAGCTCTCCTGGGGCGGGCGCAGAAGGGGGAGGAGGGAGGTACGGCATGAGGGGCGTGTGGTTGGTAGATGCCGCGTACGACGGGTCAGGACCATGCTCCGATACTTGAGCGAGGCGCGAGACAGACTGGATGGAGCCATGACGGGACGACAGGCTGGCCTTAAAGCCGTCTTGGTTGTTGGTATAGACCGAGGAGCCACTGGACCTCCGCTTCTGCTCCAAGTCCATCTTGCGAATCTCGTCTCCAATATTGGTCGAGCTCATACTCATCCGTTCAGCACTCCTCTCCAGACGTTCCACATTATTGACATAGGCTCCTTGCAGGGACTGTAGACCGGGGGTCGGATGGTTGAGCGGGATGGGCTCCCCGGAAATGGGGCTTCGGAGCGGCGGTTCGGAAGGGGAAGAAGCGATGGTGGTTGCGGTAGTGTCAAGCGGAGGCACGCGACGGGAACTCTTGGGGCTTTGAGCTGCGGAGGAGGAGGAGTGATCGGCGGGTAGTTCGTAGTCATCGTCTTCGACCATGTCGTAGCTGGTTGAGGTGATCGACCGGATCATCGAGCCTAAACCGCCGATGCTGGAACTTTCGGCTGACCTGGCAGGTTGCAGATAGTTGCCAGCGCCGATATGGTCCACATCCAAGGGAAGTGGTTGGAAGGAAGCATCATGGTGCTGGGACTGGAGGGAAGGACTGCGGGAATGCTGATCATCAGAATCGCTCGCATTGGAAGCGACCTCGTGGTCGGCCTGTAAGACGGCGTTGTATTCCATGATCGAACTGTGCTGAGGTGATGATCGCGAGTGTCCAAGCCATAAAGGGGAGAAAATAGTTCACTCAGCAAATCCCAGTTTTGACGTGGTCGAGGCAGGAGGAACAAGGCGAGAGCAAGTTAGAGTGAGAGGAAAGTCAGATGTTCTGGCACAGATAAGAAATGAGGGCGGGCCTGCACTACCGCGATACCCCCCTGCAAGAACGTAACTAGGAAGGATAGAGGAGGAGACGAAGGAGACGAAGGATGGGAATGGAAAGAGAAGGAGGAGGAAGAAGAAGGAGAAGAAGGGAAAGGATAAAGAGATCCCCTTGGATAGAAGATATTATCAGCTCCGTCCTGGCATTACGCAGTCGGGGAAAATAATAATTGAAGATGGGGAGGAGGAGGGGGGATGTTTTTGGGTGTGGAAGTAACGTATTGTAGAGGAAGGTCTTGTATTATTGTCATCTTTTTTTTTTCTTTTTTGCCTGGGTTGCTAAATTTGGGTGGCCGAACCAGGCTGGACCGAAAGCAGTGGAGTTAAGTTACTGTGAGTGTGGGAAAGAAACGGCACTAACTAACCAAGTCTCTTAGGGGGGATCCGCCACGCTGTTTGCACCAGACAAGGGTAACTTGTACAATACCGTACAAAAGGTTCATACATGTATACAACTGCAGTCAATTAACTACAACAAACTGTTCTAGGTAAGTGGTCAGGAGACAGTTCGTGCAGTAGTCGCTAGTCCCACATGTAAGTTACTGAACATCAGGACTACAGAGCACAGAAGGGCTCGTCCTGAGCAAATCTTTACAAGATACAGTATTCCTTACACTAAACAGAGAAGCACTGTACTCCGTATGATGCTGTCTGCAGTGTCAACGCCAAATTGCCGGTATGGGCTAGCTCAAATTGTCTGTTTCAGGGTCTTCTGCTGAACGAGTGGAAAGGACAGCCCCTGGGGAAAATGTCTTACGTACCCGAACTCCCCCAAATCCACCACCGCCCCTTTCTGACACGAACACCACATATCCATCCCGACAGCACGGAGTACGAAGCAATACATTCGATGATCCTATCAGTACAGTATATACCACCTCCTGGAATCTTTCAGCTGGTCGACCTTCGACACGAAGGTTTGCTTATCGGACTCGAATGACCGGGGGGAAAAACATCAATCCATGCCGGTATGCCGCGGTAATCGTTGGCCGTTGTATCTACGCTAGCCAGTAGTTACGGAGTACTGTGTAGGTACTAGGTACCTAGTTAGTGGGGAATCTAAGAGCAAAGGGCCAGGCGATCGACTGGCTGGATGGACGTTCCGTACAGCAGTATCCCTCACATACGTATCCAATGCCCTTCTCCCTTTATCCAACTGTGCAGCAGCGTCGGGTGGGAGAGTCCGAATATCTCCGTACCGCCCTTTCAAAGCATCACCTGCTGTCACCTTTGAAGTCATCGTCCGCCAACAGCTTCTCCTAGCTACTTACATATCACGGTCAGGTCGAAGGTTAGGGTTTCTACCTCCCTCGGGATATGACAGATACTCAGCCGTAGTTCAGGAATCCTTGCTCAAAGAAATTAAAGCCCCACCCGCAGGTTCACTGCAGTAGTTCTTGACCCATGCCCAGAGATCTTGTGGCTGTACGTAGAAGGCATTCTAGTCTCCTCCATATTTCAGTCCCAACTCACCTATACCACAGCGTCTTCCGCATCCCAACATTTCCCCTCATTCCCCGCCGTCGACCTTGAATTACGCGAGCATGTATCCAACTGGCCCAAAAGGCCAGCTACGAACCCACTCACGAACAACAAAAACAAAAACAATCAACAGCCGAGCAATGACCTCATTCTCCCAAAAATCGCTCAGAGAAAAGCCACGGGCTGGAAAGTGTGAAAACTAACTAACATCCCCGGCAAGTGGGGAATTATGACGCTATGGGCTCAATCTCCCACCAGGAACGCATTGAAGGCTGAAGCTATCCAAGGCGGTTTTGCTGTCTAGCGCCGTCCTCCGCCAGACTAAGAGGGTAGGGCCCAGACATCAACGGAAGTCTACAGCCAACAAGGTGTGTCCGGTGCTCGGATACGCTCCACCTTCATCCGAAAAGTGAGCCCCACTTCCATGATTTGCGAAAAAGAGGCGCCGTAACAGAACCACTGCACCTCCCCACAGGTGGCCCCCCCCGGGCCCCAATCATCAGGACTGAAGATCTACTGTGTAAACCCTGGGGTTGTTGGTTGCCTTGAAGGATCCTTGTCTAGTGTGAACGGACTCGGGGTTTCGGGAAAAACGGATCAGGTTCAAGCAATCTACACGACCGTCAGCTGAGACTGAGAGCAAAAGAATGTCGCATCCATTTATCCGATCCGCTGTGCATGGCTGAGTGGTTTTGTCCGTGGGCGATCAGTGGCCACTGGCAACCAGCCTGCCGTTCTGTTCTGACGGATCAACAAATGATAATCGGTCAACCGCACAAGCCGCCAATCGGTAGGGATGACGTTGTCGGTGACGGATGGCAGCCACTGGGCAGTTCAGCCTTACTCGGAAACTTCCGTCGGACCGTCTACGAGACATGGATGCTTTCGATGTTTTCAGGTTTGGATGTTTAAGCCTCTCGCGTTCACCTCCGCCCGATGAAGTCTCACAAAACATTGAGGGCGATAGTACTAGCTTCATGTAGCGACTGACAGAGGGCCTAACAATATGGTATGCATTCAACCTCTCCCTCTATTCTTGACCCCATAGTCACTGGGTTCATCTCACACTGAAATGGTTCAACCACATGGCTCAAACAATGTGCGTTTACTAAATAGCCCAACGTCATCTCGACAGTAACCTTCTCAGAAAGATAATGCCGGCGACTGCCGTGAGATCTTCTCAGAGTGTTCCCACCTGTTTGCAAGCTAGTAAAGCGATGTACAATACGATATTGGCTTCAGATTCCAACAAGCGTTTGCTGACCTTCACAATTTAACGCAATAAACATACCCTCCTGACGTTTAAAACCAGCGAGGCTCTAATGCACATTCCTCCATCAGCAAATAACGAGGATCTCGCCAAGCGAATCCACAATCTACTCGAGCCCATACACATATGGCACCAAATCGCAACACAGACCCAATGAACCCCATAAATCAGCATCCCAGTATCAGTTTAACTCCTGTTGTACAATACACAGCCCAGCCCGCACAGATCAAACCTCCCCCTCCCTGGCCCCAACCCTCTCCTTCTTCTTCAACTCCATCAACTCCGCCCTCTCCCTCACCGTCCCCGCGACCCCCAACCCAGTCTCCCCCCCCAACGCCTCAAACCCCCTGATCACCCCCTCGCGATCCCCCTTCCCCATCTCCTGACTCATCTTCACCTTGCCCTGCAACCGCTCAATGCGGATCTCAATCCCGATGATATTCTTCTTCAGCAACTCGACATAGCTGACCGGCGCATCCGCCACCGCCCACGGCTTCTCGTACCCCATGATCCGCGTCTCCGCCTCGCGCGACAGATCCTCCACCTGCCGCTGTAGGTAGGCGCCCGTCGCGTCGGCTTTGCTGTCGCAGTACACCCGGACCCTGCCGTACACCTGGGCGGCCGAGTAGTTCCAGGTCGGCACCACCTTGCCGGTGGCGGGCTTGGTCTCGGTGTAGAATTTGGGCGTCACGTAGTGGTGGTGGGGGCCGTTGAAGAGGACAAGCACCTCGTCGGGGAGCTCGAGGGCCCCGCTGCTATTGCTGGCGGCTTGGTGGGCGGCGAGCGCCTCCATCAGGGCCTTGGCTTGCGGGTTCTGTTTGGCCATGTGGCCGCGGAGGGTGCCGAGGTGGGTGGTGGGTTCGGCAGCGGCGGCGGCATCGGTGACGGGCGGAAGAGACTCGGGCACGTCGAGGACGAAAGGGATGTGGCTGGTTTGGAGGAGCGGGTGGGCCGGGGATTGGATGGCGGTCGTGAAGATGCCCAGCGGGTTGTCGCGGATGAGTTGGTGGAGGTAGGCGATGCTGGATTCGGCGTGGATGGCGCGGAGATACATCTTGTTGTTTCTTGTTGAGGTGGTTTTGGTGGTGGTGAGGAAGAGAGGCGGGGTGGGTGCCGGGTTTGATTTAGAATGAAAGCTGTCTCAGGAGGATACTGGCTTCTTATAGTCTAATGAACTTGCATCAAGTGGCTCTGACAGAATGATTTCCCATGGGGTTTTTGTGATTCAATTGTGAGTAGGCCCAGCGGGCTGTCTTATTGACAAGCCCCCCCGCAGACCGCAGACCGTTATCGCCTATCGCGTGAGGTTCTTAGGCTGGTGAGTCAGATTTCCAACTGGCCTGATTGGTAGACTGCGCCGAGGCCCGCGGAAAAACAATGTCACTGCGTGCAACTGCGGAGTAGTCTCGCGTAAGTATGTCTTCTTTGGGCGCTTGGCCCAAGGTGATTGGGGCTTGGACAGAGAATCGTTCCAGAAAGTCTTGAAAATGTTTATGGTTAAGGTAACTTATACCTTAATAGCTGGATTCAAGGTTGTTGATCTAAGGGAGAAATACTTATTGCTAGGGGCGCTAGTACTCTCTCGGATTAGTGACTGAGTAAATTCGCCGTGCGGAAAGCAAGACAGCCAATCGGAGATGGCTCTATTTCGATGACGCTTGCCCGTTTGGGAATGTATCGGGAGTGGGCCAGGGATCAATAGATCTATAATATTGTGGACTGCATGCAGATATTTGACTGTCTGATATAGTTCACTGCTGCAGTGAAACTGAGCACATATCTGCTACATAATTGCACATTCTTGGACTTCATTATCTGCATCGCTCTTTATCCTGCCTTTTCTTCTTGATCTGTTCCCGATAGAAGACCGCCCAGGGAACATCAATTCTACATCAACCTGTTATCATTGTCACCGTAGAAAATGTTTTCTTGGCAGAAGACTTATATCTCACACTGTGGGCGCTGAGATTGCAAGGGAGTCGTCACCAGAAGGTGTTTACATTGCAGTTGGCGTGACTGAGCCATAAGCGCTCAAAAAGATATACCATTTCGGCTTTCGCTGATCTTAAAGAAGATCTCGCAGAAAGACCCTAAATAGCGTCTTTCGACTTGCGATCGCTCACTTCAGATCAACCATCGGAAATGCAAGATTGCAGCCGAATGCTGGCTCAATCCCTAGCGAGCAACATCTATTTCAAAGCATTGAAGGTGATCAGATCAATTCAACCCGCATTGAGATGTCGCTACCGCCACCATCCCCCCCGCCAAAGAGAGACCGTTCGCGCCGTCACCAACACCCACACTCCCAGGTGCAGTGGGAATACATTTAGACCTCCGGCCAGTCACTCGGTACTACCCCTTCCACGCACGAGACTTGACACAACAATCGCAGTCAGCAAACCTACAGCAGCCACCCCGCGGCCGGCACGCCTGTGCCTCCTTCCCATAGGGCTCCAGTTTCTTAGCCATCTTCGAAGCTGCCCGGATCCAAGCACCCTTCACCGGGTACTCGTCACTCAGTGCCTTGACTTCTGCCAGTTCGTCCGTAGTTGCGCCGAGACGGTGTGGGATTCCTACATGAGCTGGTTCCGTTGCATCGAGTGGTCTTTTGTCGAGTGGGGAATAGAGTCCTTGAGGTCTCGAGCTTCGTCAATTTGTGCCGTTAACCGGGCATGGCGCCGAACCAGAGCGCGAGCCTCAGCCACGAGCGCGTGTTTCTTCTGGAGGTAGTCGAGTCGCAAGGCCCGCTCCGAGTCGGGGGTTTGGACCTTTAGCGACTAAGCTGATTAAGGCGAGGAGGGCTCCTTCACAGTAAGCCTCGAGGGCCCTCCCATAGGTCAGTCCCAGCATGCGCAAAGACCATGGTCGCCGTCGTGACGAGAGCGCACAGAAGCCCAACGAGCATTCCCAAGATCGCAAAGGTGAGGGCCATCAGTAGTAGCACCAGCAGCAGCCATATCACTGCATCCAGCATCTTTTGCAGTTGTGTGCTCGTCTGGGAGATCCGTGGGGCAAAGGTCGACTGTGAATTTGGCGGAAGTGGAAGACAAAAAGAGGGGGATGTCGGAGACAGATTCGAAGACCGGACCAGAGGAACAGATGGCAAACAGACATTGAAATTAAGGTCCAGGGTGTCAGGAAGTCTTAGATCACATCAAAAAAAAGCTCTTCTGAGATCTCATGCGATAAGAACCCGGGAACAATCTCAGCTGAGAGTCATCGGCCAACCCCAACCGAGAACAAATCGGTGTTCCCATAGAGCACATGTCTCCTCTGCACCCTACATCTCAATTCCTGAGACATGAACATCTTAGAGACCTGAGGTGCTCCACAGACAACACTAATATAGCCTACAAATTCAGCCCGCACAAAGAAAGCTAACAGTAAATAGCCACTTCTTCCTTCCTTCTTATTTCCATGTGGGCTGTAATCCGAGTTGTCAGCGAGCATAAAACAGAATACTCACTGGGCATTGACTGAAGCAGTTATAGGGCAACCTATAGTCCCGATCATAGCGCTTTGCGAAGTGATCCACAAAGGCCAAGCTTAACGCTGAGACAACTCTCGGTGGTCCTGCCCGGTCAGTTATCAGAGACCCACGGCCGAGGCTTTGGGCTATTACCTACTCAGAAGAAACATCGGCTACCTCGGGATATTGCGGACATCCCTGGTAAAGCGTATTCTTTATAGAACCTCTCGAGAAGAAATGAGATGACCTTTACAAGTGTTCAGCTAATGCATATGACCAAGAACAGAGGTAATTTCATTGTGCAGCTGGAGGCTTAGGAAGCCCTAGCCAAGCTAATCATCTGTTAGTGGAAAGAGGTATTGACTTGCGACGATGAAAAAGGGTAACTCAAAGTTTCGATTCTCGTGTCCCAAATTCTTCAAATATCGCTGTATCAAGTATGTAGTCAACAAGTCTACCACACATCGTAATCTACATCAAATAACACCCGACACTGGCTACCTAGCCAACCGATCACCGACCTAAACCATCACAGGGCGAAGCCGGAAAATCGACCCAACCCCCGGGCCCAACGGCAACATCCCAGTCCTAGGTAGCCCAAACCCTCACTCCCAATTTAAACAGACTCATAGTTCCCCCGGTAGCGCTTCACAACCGTGAACGTGCTGTCCGACGTGCAAGTATTCCCAGGGATGGTAACCTCGCCACTGCAGGTGCCGGTGATGCCGGCGCTGATGCCGATGAAGTCGAGGGACTCCTTGGCCTTGCCGGGGTAGGCGGTGCCGTCGGGGTCGTAGGCGCTGCAGAGCTTGGGGCTGCCGTCGAAGGCGGACTCGCAGCCGAAGGTCCAGGTGCCCGTGAAGCAGTCGGAGGTGTACTGCACCTTCTCGCTGTTGTCCATGCAGGGCGCGTAGCCGCCGGGGTCGGCGTTGTTGTAGATGGTGTTGCCGTCGTCGTCGGTCAGGGTGAAGCCCTGGGAGTAGCCGCTGCCGGCGCCCTGGATGTCGCTGTAGGAGTCGGCGGCGTAGAGGAAGTGGATGATGTCGGTGGTCGCGACGACGGTGGAGGCCGTGGCGCACAGGGTGAGGAGGAGGGGTTTGGCGAGCATTTTGCAGGTTTTTCTTTTTCTTTTTTTGTTTTGCTTTTGGAAGGATAAGAGAGATGGACTTGACTTGGGATGAAAGGAAGGAGGAGAATTGAGATGGTGGTTTGTGTGATGATCGAGGGAAGTGTCTGAGAGGATTGGGGGGTATTTATATTCATGCTGCGCCTATATAAGGAGCGTAAACTGCGAGCCTCATCCGTCTTTCCGGGGCGTGGTGGAGAAGGTTTTCACGATTTCGTCAGAGAAATCATGTACAACAACTTGGAAGGCCATGCGGGACCGTTTTGGGGGCCAGAGAACGGATCTATTGCGGCGGCTAGAATTAACTTGGTCAAGCGGGATCATCTCCCCCCGTTCTCTATTACCCAATGCACCCTGACGCTGATGAGTGAGTCTCGAAGACTTCCCTTTGCGGGCAGCCAGCCTCATCTCCCCCGAAATTGCGGAGTTGCAGCCTCGTCGGTGTGGGGTGCTTGTCCCACCAAGCTTTCGCGAGGTGGCCATTGAAGGCTTGGTAGGTGGGGCCTGGAGGCTTAGCTGGAACTGGGGCAAATCCTTGAGGTCTTCCATCGCTAGATCCTGCTCGCTATACCTGCTTCTTGAGTAGAACATTAGCCATGAGCTATTGCTTGATATATACTACTTGCTGTTTATGATCTGCTTTCCAAAACGGGTTTGGCAGAAGGAAGAGACTAAGCCGAGGACTCAAATGATGGCTTGTATTAGGGTGGCATACATACCAACAGCACAATGGCTACGATGTAAGTGTCTTTCAAAGTCCTCGTTTCACGGAGCAGAAGGGTTATCTGCTGCTTGGTTGAAAGCTGATGTCCATTGGGTTCTGTGTCCGCTATAGCAATTAGGTTGCGCAGGGTGAGCAGCATGATACCGACGGCACAGATTAACGCTGCAGTGAAATTACTTGTTCTTTATTGTCATATTGTCACCTGAGGAGGCTCATGATCGTTCATTTTCCTGCCAAGGGAGGTAGCTCGTTCCATCAGAGCCCCAGTTTGTCGAGGCTGCCAAGAGTCAATGGGTCTCCTGATTAAAGTGTCAGGGGTGCCGATCTCGGAGATATCAATTAGCGTATAGCCTCAGGCAGGATGACTGTGGGGCCTGAGGCGGAGTCCATTTATCAGGTATCTAGGTTTTCTAACAATTCCCATCATAACAATGCTGACATGAGTTAGATATCATGGAAATGTAGGTCAAGAGACAAACACCTTTCTCTATGCTAACTCCTCCATACCAGTGTCGATATTCTTGACATTAATTAGGGTATATCGTCAAACTCGTGGTCAAATGATCCAAGTCACTCAGCTGGATATCAAACCAAATCAACCGACGAGCATCTCCAGAACATCAGCAGAATTCGAGATCCACTCCACTTCCAAAGTGTCATGTGGGCTATGGCGAAAAACATCTTCGGTCGCAACAGAGAGCCATTCTGCTTTGCCCACCGCATTCCACAACGGGGTATTCCGTGGCCAGGGAAATTGCAGATCGCGTACTTTAAGGACTCCGCTTGCTGGCTCTGCCATGTCTGCAACGTCCCGACTACTAGTCTGTTTGTTTGCACCGCTGAACGCTCTGCAAACTTTGAACAGCGTCAAGTTGAATCGTTTGACCTCCTCGATGCTCACCCACACATAGGTCGCTGGGTCATCCTGGCAGTAACGATTGAGCATGTTAGGATAATACAGCAGGCCCAGCTTCTTGCAACTCGCGACCAGCCTCTCCAGCAGGTCGCGGTCAGGGGGTGCAAGGGAAGGCTTGAGGTCCGGGCCAAGCACTTCACCGCCCTGGGACAGCCCAGCGAAGATTATGTGGAGCAAGATGGCCTGGTATGTCGGGATGGGCCACGAACAAGCACTGCATCCATCCTCTAAGCTCGAGGCATCCCATACCGCCTACGGAATTCCCCATCAGTCGAATACACTTCTAGTGCAGGAGGTTCTGAGTCACATACTGTCTGTTCGCGAATGGCGGAGTCAAGGACCTGGTGCAGATCCATTGCTTTGGACTGTGTGTCCTTCTCCCGACTCAGCCACAGACCTATGACAACCATGGATTGCACCAGCAAGGGCGTCTCATACTCGCTGAACGAACCCCGGTGAATGAAGGGCCAGTGAGGGTGAAACAGCTTGAAATACAGACCGAGATAGTGATTCTCCTTTGCGGAGCGGTTCGCCTTGGGTCGGAGGGACAGCGATCGCAACGGCATGGATTTCGGACCCGACGCGCGCTTGGAGTTGTCACCAGGCTGTACATCAATCTGTCGGTGGTGCTCAAGAGAACAGGAAATCCTACGATGTAGGCAGTTGCTACATGGTGGTCCACCGCGGCACCGGATCTTCAGATTTCGACACAGTGTGCAGGCGTGTTTGGTGGGAGGTTCCGCCGGTTCTTTGGTGACATGCACCTTTTGCATGTGTCGCTGGAGTGTATCACTATCGTTCTCAGCGTTGACTCTTTTCATTGACTGGATACATGGGAGGGAGTATAGTAGGCAAGTCACTTCTTACCGCCGGCTAAATGTCTGAGCACAAATCGAGCACTGCGGAAGCTGACGGCGGGTATGTTGCGCCTCATGACGATGGCGATGCTCCCTCCGTTGGTAGCTCGAGCTGCAGCCCGGAAATCGACACTTGTATGTTTTGAAAGGAATCGAGAGCATCTTGCTGATTTGTCAGATATTCCAGGACTTATGAAAGATAATCAATGGCATTATCGGCTCGAGAATACACCGTTAAGGTGAGCGTAGGGACAAGCAGACCTTTCCATAAGGGTTTGGTGGCTTACCCCTGATATGATCAACAATACCTAGCTTAGTAAAGTGTCTTGAAGGAATAAGTTAGATGATGAGACAATTCTGTCGTATGGTCAAAGACACATGCTCATGGATTTGGCACGCCACTGCCGAGGGCCCCACTCTGTCCGGAGTGCCCACCCCGCGCGGGCATCGGCATGCCCACCTTGCTCGGAGTGCCCGCCTGGATCACTCAGCTTGGTATCCGGCGATAGGTATTGTGCTCTTAAATGTGAATCGTGAGATTTCGGTTTCTGAAGTTCTTTGTTCTTTGAAATGAATCGACAAAATGATTACCTGAGCAATGTCTAATCATCAAACCACAACACAGCTACAAGTACTGCACTGGTCGCTGGCCTTGATAGCCGCAATGCCCATCATCCAACTCCATTCTACTCCGCGAAGCAAACTACATCTTCCCCATCTCTTCATAACCAAACAATGACCCCCTCAATCCTCATCGCCGGCGCGACCGGCAACACCGGCCGGAACGTCGTCAAAACCCTATCCCAACTGCTAGCAACGACCGACACCCTCCCCCACCACCGCATCCTCGCCCTCACCCGCTCCCCCCAGAGCGCGATCGCGCAGCAGCTCGCCCAGCTACCCGGCGTGGAGATCCACGAGCAGAACTGGGTCGAGCTGACCCCATCCTGGCTCCAAGAACACGGCGTGGACCGCGCGTTCCTCGCGGCGCACAACCAACCCCACCAATTCGCCGAGGAATCGAGCTTCCACGTCGCCGCCCTGCGCGCCGGGGTCCGGTACGTGGTGCGCATCTCGACGACGGCCGCGAACGTCCGCCCGGACTGCGACGCCTACTACGCCCGGGCCCACTGGGCCATCGAGGACCTCCTGCGCGCCCCGGAGTTCCACGGCCTGCAGTGGACCTCCCTCCAGCCGAACATCTTTGCGGGGCTGTGGCTTGCCTCCGCCGCGGAGTTCATCCAGCAGTCCCGTCGGAACGGCAGGCAGGGGACGCTGCGGCTGATGGTCTCCGAGACGGCGCCGGTGGGCATCGTCAATCCCGAGGAGGTGGGCGCCCTGGCGGCGCACCTTCTGGTCCAGGCGGACCCGGCGGTGCACAACCGGGCCCGGTATGGTCAACGGGCCGGCGGATGTCTCCGGGCGAGAGATCGTGCGGATGGTGGGTGAGCGGATCGGGGCGCCGGTCGAGAGAGTCTGCTATGAGGACTTGTCGGGTCTCGAGGCGTACCTCGAGCGAGAGTCTATGGGGGCTCCGCAGTCTTCGCGGAATGTGATCGCGTCTGTCAAGCACGCGCTCAGGACGGCGTGGGAGGGGAAGTGTGCTGCTTCTACGACGAGCCGGGAGGTGCTGGAGATTGCGGCGCCGACGCGGACACCGGTCCAGGTTCTGGACGATTTGCTGAGGGAGTAGAGGGAGAAATCGCTGGTTTATCGGTGGTGGTGGATCCCATACGTTTTCCTCACCTTGTGTCGAATGGCCATCTCTGCTCATTTGATTGATTGGAAGTACTGTACAGTGCAGCTTGCTAGTGGTTAGGAGGTCAAACCCATGCTATCAACAAATCCGCCAGGCAATCCAAGTATGAATCTAATTCTCCGAAAACAATCACGTAGAACCTCTAGCATGGCGGAAGTACTCGAGTAGAAACATGATCATTCTTGTCGGCGGGGATATGTCAGCGCCCTCGGCAAACCAAGCGGACACTGCAGACCTGACCGCCTACCTAGTACTTCCGACACTCAGCAGCAAGCTTAGCAGTTGATAGAAAATAAAAACGGATTCTTTATTAATTCGAAGAGTAATTAGATTTCTCCAGAGCATTAAGGTAAGATTAGTGATGATATGGCGAAAAGAACAAGCAAAAGAAAGTTCAACAGGCATTCCAATCGATCCCCATCCTTTCAAAGCACTACAATACGCAAGCGGATAGGAGACCCCTCGTAAGCCAAAGATTTTAGCAACAGCACAACAACGCCGACTAAGAGATTTCAGAAAAGAGAAACACACCACTAAACTCCGAAACCCACAACTTACCCATACAACCACCAACCTCGGGCAACCCCAATGCACATCCACTAAACAATCAATCCCTACCAACCACCTCAAACAACTCACATCCTCCATCCTCCCCCTTTAGAAAAATGCTCTGGCGCCCCCTCCACCCCACCGACCTCCCCGCCCTAGAAACAATCGCCAACCAAATCCACCAATCCCTCCCGGAGCGCCCGGAGATCTTCGCCGAGCGCATCCGCCTCTTCCCGGAAGGCTGCTGGGCCCTTGAAGCCGGGGGCGACGGCCAACTGGTCGGGTACGCGATCTCGCACCCGATCCGCGCGGGCCAGCCGCCGGCGCTGGACACGCTGCTGGGGCGGATCGCGCCGAACGCGGACCAGTATTACATCCACGATGTGGCGGTCCTCCCCGGGGTGCGCGGACGGGGGCTTGCGGCGGAGGGGGTGCGGCGGCTGCTGGAGGTAGCGGGGCGGTACAGGTATCAGACTACGGGGTTGGTGTCGGTTTATGGCACGGAGGGGTTTTGGGGACGGTTTGGATTCCGGGTTGTGGAGGTGGGGGAGGAGTTGAGGGGGAAGGTGGCCGGGTATGGCGGGGAGGCGGTTTTTCTTGTTAGGAGAGATGGGGAAGGGGAGTAGAGGGGTTTGTTTGATGTGATGTGTGATGTGGGATTATTGTCTATGTGTGGCTGCTTGATTTGGGCTCAGTTGGTGTATTGCTGGACATGTTGCAAGCTTGTAGGATTCACTATTCAATGTACACAGATCTGCATCACTCGACACGCCGTTCACATCGGTCGATAGCTCGCTCGTGCCGAACAATTACTCAAACCCCCTCTTCAGGTTCTCGAACCGACTCAACGGATAGTTTAGCGTGTTCGGGCTCCGATCCAGATCCCCCGACCGCATAAATTCGTTCACCGTCGTCCGGATCAAGCTCCGCTCATGCCCGACGGGATGATCCCCGCTCAGCTCCCACCACATGGCGCCCCCCAACCCCCTCCGCTTGATGTACTCGACCTTCATCGCCGCCACCTGCGGCGTATCGTAACTGACCACCTTCCGCTCCCCGGGCGCATGACTCCAACTCGCCAACAGATTGCTGTCCACAAACTCCTGATGTCCCGCCGGCGGCAGGGCTTTGTAATCCCACACGCCGTTCTCCCACGACCCCTCTCCGACCCCCTGGAACGGCCGCCCGGGACCCTCCGTGTTCTCAAATGCGCGCCCGTACAACGGCATCCCGAATATGATCTTGTTCGGATGCACCCCCTGCGAGACGTACGCGTGCACCGCGCGATCCGCACTGAAGGGGGTCAACCGCTCGTGACCCGGTGGCGCGGGGAAGACATTCGCCTGGTGGCCCGCGTGTGCGTCCCAGCTACCCGCGAAGTCGTAGCACATCAGGTTCCAGAAGTCGAGGTAGGGGTCCATGTCGCGGATGCGGAGCTTGGAGAAGTGGGTGGGGCCGCAGGGGGCGGCGATGGTCAGGAGCAGCCGCGAGGGGAGGCGGAGGTGGGCCGCGTAGCGGTCGAGCTCGCAGCGGGTCTCCTGCAGCAACAGCACGAAGTTGGCGGCTTGCTGCGGGTCCGCCGGATATTCCCAGTCGATGTCGATGCCGTCAAACCCCAAGTCGGCGAGGAGGTGCACGGCGCTCCGGGCGAAGGTTTGGCGGCCCTCGGGCGTGGAGGCCGGCTGGGCGAAGTTGGCGCTGTAGGTCCAGCCGCCGATCGATAGGAGGGTTTTGAGGTGGCGGTGCTGCTTCTTGAGGAGGAAGAGCTGTTTAATGCAGCCGTAGGCGTTGGTGTTGGGTTCGTCCCAGCTGTCGCTGGGGTAGTGCTTTTCGAGGTCGGAGTAGGTGTCTGTTAGAAATCTGGGAGGGAAGGTATTAGATCTAAGAAGAGATAGACAGGATATTGGTGGTTGTACACTTCACCCGTGGGTCGGATGTTTGCGAAGGAATCTGATGTTTGTTAGTGGGTGTGTAGCTCCTGGTACGTTTTGGGCTTCATACATAGGATGTGTGTGATATACTCGGCTGGAATGTCCTGAGGCTGGTAGTTACGACCATAGACACCCTGCAGACAGGTCAGATAATATATCGACGAGTCACTCTATAACGGCTAAGACATACCCAATTGGTGAAGTATGCAACTGTCTTGTAGGCGGGCCCCTGCGGAACGCCAGGAGCGGGTGGCGGAACCATCTGCGGGGGAATCGGAGGAGCACGTGTTATGTTGTAGCTTGGGGCCGGAGCTGAAGGACTCCCTAGATCACGAGAAGCCGGGTCTGCGGCCTGAGCTTGCGGCTCATTTCTAGGAGCTTGACCCGAAGGGATCTGCAGCTCCTGGCCTGGATAGATGAGATCCGGGTTGGTGAGTTGCGGGTTGGCGGCTTTGAGGGCATCTAGAGTGACGCCATGGTCTTGAGCGATTTTCCACAAGGTATCTCCGCTAGCAATGGTGTAGGTAGACATTTTGCAGGAAGTTCAATTGATATTTGGGAAAGGTAGGATAGTTGGAGAAGGAAAGAGAGAGAGAATGACGATGAGGCGGAAGAAAGACCGGACGGCGGTTCAGGCACCAACTGCACTCAACCTTAATTCTTTATTTATCGAGGGGTTAGCTTAATGAGGCTTAGCCCGAGGTCATGTCCCGCTTGCCTCTTACAGTAACGTCGCGGCTTTTGTGCCTCAGGCGAGAATTAATGCCCTGTTGCCTCAGTTCTCGTCATAGGATCTGATTCTCAGCCACACCTGGTCATAGTGGTGACTGCAATGATCATCACTATCTCGGCTACAATCGTGTGGAGCGGCTGATCATTCGATCGCCAGCAACCGCATTTTGTGGATTTGTTGTCGGTAGCAGGATTGACTGTAATAATGGCTTTGACATGTAATGCTGACCGATTGACAACAAAGATGAGAGCTCTCATCACCCCTGTACCTTGCATGGAGACATCCAATGCTGCAGTTGCGGAACCGAAGCAGCCTCTCCTGCTCCTGAATGCTGAGGATGGTGTACCAGCCCCTGGCCCCCACCTTATATTACATCCGATGCGCTAGTCTTTCGGGGATGATATTACGTATGTCTCAGATTACGGCCCCTCAATCCCAGCTTGGCCTTAAATTGTAGACTTTGATGTGTACAAACAGCGGTCGGATGGGCTGTGCATTGAGGACGGCCGGGGCGGGCTGAGAAACAGATGTCTTGGCAATTGGCAAGTCTCGCAGATGATTATTCTGTATCGCTCGCAGAGAGATCAAGAAATCTTCACATGGGACGCAGTGGATTTAGTGAAAAGCATGCAAGCATGCAAGTACGCAAGCATACAAGCATTCAAGCAAGGAGTTGTTGAGCATTGCAGAAAGCCGGGAGATCCGATGATCCATCGACTAGTCCTATTCGGACCATCACGTGTCGGCAATCCGCCCGAGAGTTCATTTGACAGTTTCAGAGTTTGAGATCATTGGAATTCCACATTCTTCGGGAGATAATCTCAATCTCAAGGATTGCCTTTACCGAGTCATCCTGATCCACCTGTTCCCCCCTAATGATGACGCCCCCATCACCTCATTTTGGCTGGCATCAAATGGTGCCGCTGATCCAGTCGCAGTGATTGGCTTCCCTGCCAGTTAGGCAGCTGCGCAAATCAGGAATGGCAAAAGGCCCACGCGTACCATCACCGGAGGGTTCCACCACTAAGGCTGACTGCGTGCGTGCGCCATGAGGAGAAGAAATCATCCCAGCGACCACTTTCTTCGGGGGTTTTCCCTCCTTTGTCCACTTCTCCTCTATTTATCTTATCCGGTCCCTCACTCCATAATGCAGAACCTTCTCTCTTCTCGCACGGCTTGATTTTTGCCACCCAACAATCTTCCCTCCCACCCTATATGCATTCTTCCAGTTGAGATGAACCTCCACCAGGTGCAATGGCACCTTGCTCGAGCGGCCATGCTGATGGCCGCTCTGTGCCTCGTCCTCTACCTCTACGCAAACCGCAATGGCGCCTCTACGGCCAATGACGGCCTGGTGGTCGACGATGTCAAAGCCGTGGTTCCTGCCCTCTCCGCCTGCGACGATTTCGACCCCGCCACCGTATCGCTTGACCTCCACGGTACCTTGAACGCCAAAGCTCCAATCAATGGCAGCGCAGTCGACGACTTTGTGTGCTCGATAGTGAAGCACAACATGAAACAAACCGCCCATCTCGATTGTCCTCTCAACATCAGCCTTCGTTATGATAGCCTCCGCGTGCAACCGAGCTGGGGTAGCGCCAACCCCAAGGTCAAATACTTCTTCGCCCTCGACCTATACCAAGCCGCCCACATTCTCATGCCCCTGATGGGCGCGATTCTGGATACTATGCGCTTCATTGGGCCTCAGTACTGTGCTCTTTCCATCGTCGAAGGTCGATCCACCGATGGCACGTACGATATTCTTGTCGCTCTGGAACGCGAGCTCGCTGCGATGGGCGTGCGATACTTTCTGGGAACAAACGATCTGAACCCCAAGGCGGAGGGCGAGGATCGCATCAAGGACCTGGCCATTCTGCGCAATCAAGCGATTGCCCCGCTGGTCGCTGCCGGCACGGGCAAGTTCAGCCCGTACGCCGCCGATACGCTGATTGTCTTCGTTAACGATATCGTCCTGTGCACGGAGGACCTTCTTGAGCTGATCTACCAACATCAGAATCAAGATGCGCAGATGACCTGCGCATTCGACTGGAACGCGGGCGGTGGCTCCTTCTACGACTCCTGGGTATCCCGTTCGATGTCCGGCAACCTCTTCTTTGAGATTACCCACGACGCGCGGTACTGGATCGCCAAGGATATGTTCTTTGATGACAACTACAATGCGGAGCGCTATGGGCGAGGTCTCCCCGTGCAGGTCTACTCATGCTGGGGCGGCATGGTGACCCTCAACGCGGCGCCGTTTGTGCAGAAATCCGTCACGTTCCGCAGCTCCGAACCAGGCGAGTGCTACATGGGGGAGCCCATGACGCTGGCCAAGGACCTCTGGAGAGCGGGCTTGGGCAAGATTCAGGCTGTGTCCAGCATCAATGTCGCCTACGAGTACAAGTCGGCCCGCGAGGCCAAGGAGACCTACAAATATGTGCACCAGATCATTCGACGGGAGAAGTACACGAAGGGGCCGGAACTGATCGAGTGGCAGCCGGAGCCACCGCCGCGGGTCAAGTGCATGCCCTGGTTCAATAACCAATATTGGGTCGACCCGATGTAAATAGTATCTGTGATACCAAGCGTATATATCTTTTTCTGCATGTTCAGCTCCGTGTGATTTTTACGGCCACAACCAGGGCTTGCTACTGGCGCAGTAATGAACTTTGTGCTAGTTGCTGCTCTGAATTATAGAATTATATACAAGAAATTTGACTTTACCTTGCTTGTTCATTCAGGTTAGCAGTACGTGGTTATTTGAAAGAGCAATAGGATGGGAGGGGTAATGTAGTTCGTTTCCCGTATGCGATGAAAAAGAGAAGGCGGATATATGCCTGACCTTATAGATCGCGTTGATGAGTTACCAAAGAACAAACAATGTAGTTGCCATCTAATCATAGCGTCTCTTGTCTGCTTCTACGACACGTTCGTATTGCAGACTTTAGGAAATACTCAGCAA